GGTGGCGGAGGTTCCGCCAGGCCGCACCTGCGGAGAGCGATGGTCCCGCTGCGGCACCGGGCGAGCGCTGTACCGGGGCAGCCGGGAAACCCGAATTGTCTGCTTGTAAATAGGCACATGAAGACCGCGCTTCTCTAAGGACCGTCAGGCTGGAAAATGCCGGGAGATGATTTTTGTAAAGCAAAAAGTTTTTAAATTTCATACGCGTGCACTTCTGCGCAAGCAGGCAAAAATCACAGAAAGCATAGGCAATAAAGAAATGTTGAGAGTTTATCCTAGTTTTTATGTGCTTGTAAACAAACGCTGTGCTAAGGAGCTTGGGAGTAGGTAGTCCTCTGGTTTCAGCAGGTTGAGAAGCAAATAGGAATACGATAATGAGAACTATCATAATGGAATAACATTTAACATGCTCATTTTGACTTATGTGGTTTGGGGTGGGTTTTCTTCCTTAGACCAAAGAGGAAAGAATAGTTATCCTGGAAACTGAAAATGCTGCTCTTCATCTAAAACTTGCAGAGGTAATTATCTTTTATTTCTCCCAGAAAGAATTCTTGGAGGTGGGAGGGGGAAGACAGACAAATGTGCCCATTTTCAGGTTTTGCACTCTTTACCTCTTGGGGAAATCTATGAAGGGATTAAGCCTTAGCAATTTCTTTTTCTTTTTTTTTTTAAAAAAAATCATAAATGGTAACGATAATGGTGTACTGATGAAGTAACTAGAAAATGGCATATATTTAAACAATTGTCATTGTTTTAAAACTGTAAAAGTGAACTGAGGGAATGCCTTTGCAAACATTAAATATGGAATATTGCTTTTTACTTGCAGGGAAAATGTGTGAAAGACAAGGGTAGATTTTGAAGGAATACTTTCTAGATATAACTAGAATGATGCTTTGGTTAAAAGGACTGTTCGGAGAGTGCAGGAAAGACATTTCAGTATGAGTTGACTTACCAGAGATGCCTTAATGCGTATTTTCATAGCACCACTGTTACACTTGTCTAGAAAAGGCAAGGTACGGTTGCAGAAATCAGTCACAGAGCACACGGCAACAACTGAATGCCCTCATTCCCTTATACCCTTCTCCAGAAAGATATGTTATTCCTAGACCATTACTGAAACAAGAAAGAGCCTGTAATAATGTTTGGGATCTTCAAAGGTAGGATTTTAGAGGTTTACAGAATTTTGCATATTGATCTACACCACTAGACTAGAGCCAGATGTGAGTACTAGTTGTGATACAGACTGTTGGCCAAGAGTTTATAATCTGGGTGGAAACATTAAATGGTTGGGTGACCTCAGGAAAGCCATTTCCCTTCCCTGTAGGTTTGTTAACACCTGTGGATAAAAGTGGGTTTACCATTTTTCAAAACCTGACTGGAAGCAGATGGTACATCTGAAAAGAGTTTTCCTAGATATACAGAAGAATACTGTAATTTACTCTGAGAAAAATCTGCCTAATATTTTTGTTCTGCTTTATACCATTTACCAAAAATGTTAACTATTGTAGATTAGTATCTTTATTTTTACTCTTACAAGCCCAAGAAATAAATTATTCTGCTTAGTAAGGTGCATCAGATGCAGGAAGAAGTTATCTGGATATAGATAATGAAGTCTTGTTTTTCAAATACAGCACTGTTTCAGTTAATTACAAAATGTGCAGGAAGATACGAGCATCTACAGACACAATTTGCATGACAGCATTGCCGCTATCAGTCAGAAACGGTGCCGAATGATTTGTGGAAATACTATGTAATTAACTTTACATTGATCTTTCTATTCAGGTGATTATTTAAACACACTTAAAAGGCTTTCACTTCTCTTTGGTTAATTCACCCCAGCAACCTGAAAATCTGAACTGACATATCTGAAATAGTTTTACCTTAACTGAAGAGTCTGTATAAAGAAAGAATACTAATTTTAATTAGCAGAATTTAAGATTGTGCAGTGTTGCACCTTATCTCCCAGCTAGGCTGGTGAAAAAAAGCTGCTGCCCTCAGCTCTCAGTCACTGACCCTCCAGGTCTGCTGGTGGAGCTGCCTGAATGATGGAGCGGTAACAAGTTCAGTCACAATGACCGGGGTTAACAGAGGTCTCGTTCTTGACTTGTAAAAGCTAATTGGATCCGTTTTGGCTGAAGTGAGAGAGGGAGTTTTGAAGACAACCTTACGAGGGCAGCCATAAATTAGGATTCACAGTGCAAATACTTTTCTATACGTTGCATCAGTCTAATAGAAATGTTATCGCTTGCTACGGACCCTCCCTTGCTTATATCCTTAAGACAGTCAGAAATACCAGCACTGCTGCTGTTCTCTGCAGGCCAGTATATTATTGTCCTAGCAGCATATTTTAAGGGTTGTTATTGAACATACGAAGTCAGATTCTTTCTCTGTAGATTTGCTTTTGCCTGTTTGGAAATGTGTTTGTCTACCTTCATGTCCCTTGCTTTTATTAGCAGTCCTCGAGGTCCTGATCCTGCAGCCTTCCATGCAGAAAGCCAAGTCTGCCAGAATGGATCTGACTACAGAATTGAGATTTCCCTTTGGAGAACACTATTAAGCACTTCCATTTCACTTCTGTTTATAATAATGCTGGCTATAAAAAGTTTTATAGTCATTTTTTCTTGCTTCCCGTGCATGAGCACAGATTTGCAAAGTCTGGCTTACGAACAACTCTGATGAATGCCAAAACTATTTTAATGCCAAAAACCTCAAAACCAAGGCAGCATTTGCAGTAAAGATAAACTTGATAGTGGAAGTGAGGAGAGGTTGACTGCGATGACAGTAGAATTGACAATTCAGCTTTCATTGTTTGTGTTGAGAAAAATGGGAGGTCAAAGGAAACTTGTGCAGATGGTGGAAAACGTATTAGATGTTAAAAGTAGGTTTTAACTAGCTTAAGCTTATTTAACAGTAAGGCTTGAGTACTGCAATTGCTTAGATATATGCTTAACTTTTCACATGTGATTAGAGATACTAATTCTGGTGCTCTACTTGTTTGCATTTTTGTTGAGCATGTTTGTAAAAGTTGCACCTGAGTAACGTGAGTCTTGAAAATCCTCAGTAAAAGAACACATGAACACTGTATAGAATTGGTCTCAGTATCTGGGAGCTTACAGCCTGTAACAAAAAAAAAAGAATGTTCTTAAATTAATCTCTTCCTGTTATTTCTTTTCCTTGTAAGAACATTTTATATTAGTGTTAAGGTGTTACATAGTTGTGCAGAATCTCTCGTTGCATTTGTAGAGGACACATACTTTGTGAAGGTGAAAAAGCCCCATGAAAAGATTGGTTTAGATAAGTGAAGTCCTTTTCTTAGAAAGTATAATATTTCTTTATTCTAACAGCTCCAGGATCTTGTATTGTCATTTTTGCAGATGTCATCTCTAGTTAAACTGCAATTAGATGTTTACTTTTTACCTCTCATCAGGTGATTTGAATTAAACTCATTATGTGAATAGATTTAGCTCTTTCATATCTTTGTACTCTTCTATGCTTTTTTAATTTAAATAACAGGGAACTGCAGTCACAGAATTTATAGTCTGAATGAAGTAGGAAATAAGTCTGTCCTAGAGACAAGTGCATGCCAAAAATAAAGAAAGAGGCTTTTACCACTGGCTAAGGAGTGACAGATGCCAACAGGTAGCAAAGGAAAGTAACTGAAGAACTTACAGATCATTTTAAGGCCCAGGACTGTCAGTATCTGGCAAAAAGGCAGTGCTTAATACAATACAGATTCTATCTTGTTGCAGAATTTCACAAGTACTCTACAGAGATTTTGATTTCGTGTTCTTGTCTGTAAATATTTAAAGTAGCACTATTTCTATTTTCCTTTCAATTTTGACACCCCCCCCAAAAAAATATGGCCATAAACATTTCTTTTGCATAATGGATAATTTTCAATTATTAGAAAGCATTCTTCTCTACATCCTTTAATAATTGCTTTCATCTCTGAAGACCCAGCTTAGTGCTTCTTTGGTACAGTTTTGCACCATTGCAACTCTACTGGGTGTGATGGAGCCAGGACTGGCAGGAAGCCAGAGCAGTGAATGTTGACTTGGGGCCTGTGTATTACCAGCTTCTTCAGGACTTCAGCTGTTAACACGTGTGTGTGCTCATTCTGATTCATGTCCTTTCAGAGAGCTTTCCACATTACATGTAGTTTGTAGAATCACAGAATAGGTTGGGTTGGAAGGCACCGTTGAAGGTCACTTAGTCCAGCCCCCCTGCAGTGAGCAGGAGCATCTTCAACTACATCAGGTTGCTCAGAGCCCCATCTAACCTGATCTTGAATGTTTCTGGGGATGGGGCATCTTCTGCCTTTCTGGACAACCTCTTCCAGTGTTTCACCAGCCTCATTGTAAAAAATTTCTTCCTTTTATCTAGGAAAGGTTAGCCTGAAAGTCTAGTTACCAGAAGACACTTAAATGAGCCAGGTAACCAGCCCTTTTCCTTAAGTGAAGGTACAGTTTTAACCATTTAGATCCCCCTCAAGCATAAGTAAGGGTTTAGGTACTGCAAAAGCATTTTAATAATCTGATGCTGAGGTTTATGACCCTAAGGAGTAATATTGTGATGTTGACTGGTTACCGCAAGGTGATCTTTCATGCGTCTCAGAAAAAGGTAGAAGCGGAGAAATTAATTATTTACGATATCACATGTAATCATATATTTAGGTTACAAACGTTTACAAGGATAAAGGAGACAGAATGCAACAGAAAATGTGAATACTTTAAGGTGATCTTTTAGGTGATATTTAAAAATCTCTTTTATTATAAAACAGTACCAAGAATTGGCTAGAAGAAGCACTAATGAAGTATTGCAGCTCTACTTTGCTCATGGACAGCAGCAGAAATTGCGGAGGAGTTCTGCTGTAATCCAGCTGCATGGAGCAATAAAGGTAAAGACACAGAGTAATATTGTAGGCATAATCTCTGCTCTGAACATTCACATGCTTATCAAATTAGTAAACCCAGAAAATGGTCGGATTTGAACCTGATGTGTGCCTTTATTGTATTCACAGCAGTGCTTGTAATGAATTGTAGCATTCCCTACATTAGCTTAGAAGCGACAGTGAGTTTGCTGTGGTAGGCCTCAAAGCTGGTAAAAGCTGGTAAAAGTGGCTGCTCCTGAGCTCCACGATCTTAAGTATAGGCTGCTAGCAATACCCAAGCTAGATATATGTATTTTTGTAACTGAAACCTTGTAATCTCTGATTTGACAATCATATACATTACGCCTAAAAAACAGTAGTTGTGAGATACTCTAACCAGATAGGCAGATCCATCAAAAAAGCGTTGGAGAGTTCAACTGAACTAAGAGTTCTGCTCTGGCGGACCTCACAAGAGGGATTAGTTTGCTGTATGCTTACTCAGGTTGTTTTAATTATGCATCAAAGAGACTGGAACTGTTCTCTCAGTACCAGTACTGCCATATTTTCCTTTGCCAAAGTACTTATGCCTTAAGTTATTCCACAGAAGAGTGAGTTCCTTTTAGGGACACTGACAAATGGCACCTTTTCTCAGGGCAGAGCTGAATGCCTGCATGAAATGACTGAGCAGTATCTCGGGAAAGAGATCTGATTCTTAACAGGCAGAAGGATGTAGCTTAATTGCAACATAGTTGGACTAAATGATTATTGTAGGTTCCTTCCAACTGAACTATTCCATTCTGTTCTAATTACAGTGATTCTGTTCCGTAACTTTTGTGGTGGTGGTTTACATTTTAAGTTAGAACAGCAGAACAGCTTGTGATGCAATACCAGTGGCTTGAGATGGTTTTCTGTCAGAGATCAGCAAACGTTAGGAGAGAGGAAAGCTCTCCAAATAAAAGTTGAGGTGAATAGCAATTTTATATCTTTAATAAAATAAAAAAGATACTTCTTCCCACTTATATTCTGTGGCTTCTGAGAGTGAAAAATGCAGTGATTTTTCTCCCTTTAATTTAGATTATTGTTTTATCATTGAAACTAGTTGATTAAGTCAAGGTCAGTACCACAGTTGGAAAAATGAAATGCCACAAAATGTGTGACACTTTGTACCAGACTGACTAATGAAACACCACAGTGTTTCTGTGAGGTAAGGTGTAGTTAAGTTCATCTTACAGGTGGCTTTACATTATCATCTCGAGACTCAGAAAAGTCTCATCGTGTATGTTTTGCTGAGTTATATCTGTAATACAAATACTTTTCTGAACAATAAAGTTTTCTGATATTTTCAAAATATATCTATTCTCACAGGAAGGCATAGAGCTGGCTTATTGAAGAAAGGACTTAGAGTGAAGCTTAGCAAATACCTCCTGGTCAAAGTGTGGAAAATGAACGCAGTAAAGGGTATATGGATTGCAATTTTTCATTGCTAATTCTGGTTATGTCTTATAAGTGGACAGAACAGACACATGCTCACACACCCTTCTCTTTTTTTCGATGAAATAAGAAAGAGATATTGTTATACTTGAAGCTGGGTTACAGTTGAAGTATGTACCATAAGATGCTAAGGATCCTAAAGTCTTACTGAAGTCTTTAGGCTGTGACATTGCTAAATATCTTGCAAGATCCTTCCCTAAACACAGAATCACAGAATCATAGAATGGCCTAGGCTGGAAGGGACCTTAGAGATCACTTAATCCAACCTCCCTGTCGTGGGCAGGGACGCCTCTCAACTAGATCAGGCAACACGTGGACATGATGAAAGATATACTCCTGAAGGCTTCCTTTCATCAAGTAGAGGGTTCTTGACTCTGATATCTCACCATAATTATTTATGCTGTTATATTGATTCTTCCTTAACTGCTGTTTCTGTGTCTTTATAATGTATTTTTTCTTTTTGCTGAGAAGAGGCTTAAGCAGGACCTGAAGAGCCTCCATTCATTTGCTCTTGAGCTTTCAAAAGACTTTCAGCGTCAATGCAAGACTTATCTTTACAGAGTTTTGACAGCAGTCCAAGGGATACAGCTGCAAAATGAAGCAATGCAGAGTAAGGCTCATTGCACTTACTTTTCAAACATGTAACATCAACAATGTCATTGTTAAGAGTTGCTAACATCAAAAGGCTGAGGCTGATTTTTGTGAAATGTGTCACTGAAATTGTAGCACTTGTTTTTTGTTTGACATTAGATCATCAAAGAGTTCTGAAGAGTTAGAAAGAGTACAAATAACTCTGCAGAGGTTATGACTGGTAATTTGGATTTAGCTTTTGTGTTGATTGCAGCTGCTACCAGACTGCTGCTGAGTTGGCTCAGCTGTAATATTTTTAATCTGAAGTTCTCAGGCTTATTGTCATGACTATTTTAGAATAGCTTAATAAAGAATGCATTGCTTTAGCTGAAATTTGTCTCCTTTTGACTAGACCCGAAAAGGACTCGGGTGATTTCAGAGATTTTTGAGAATATCATCTGAAATTAGGGCAAACTGGATTTTTAATTTTTCTGTGTAGTTATGGAGAAAATTTTACTTCCAGATCAAAACCAGTTCCACTCGCTAGCCTGTAGCTAGTAACACCACACAGACCACTGCTGCAGAGTTCTGGTGCTACCTGATCTGTGTGTTCGTACTAGGCAGACCCTGCAGGGCACTGGCGCTCTCTGCCCTCGCAACTGAGGCCCGAGCGCTTTGGTCCTGCACTGGGATCGATCTCTCTCTCTCTCTCGGCACAGATCTCTGCACCTGCTTCCAGTACCCGTGATACTGGTGGAGTTCCTACCAGGCCTGAGAAGCACGTGACGCATACGGGGCTTAAATTGTTTGAAGCTTAGCAGCCTGATGAACTAGCAACAAATACAGAAATTTCTAATCGGATGGGTGATGCCATGTTACACAGAAGCACACAGAATTATTGGGGCTGGAAAAGACCTCTGAGATCATCAAGACCAGCCTTACACACAGCCTTACTTTTCAGTTGAAATAGTCAGTTTTGGGACTGATTTGATTCTAATGGGACTACTCATGTCAATAGCAGTAAGCAGCATTCTCAATGCTGGGTGCTTGCGGAATTGTCCCTGTATATATATGTGTGTGTGTGTGCGCTACATCATGGTAAAAATTGTTTTGATTAATGTGTTACCCATGTAGAGAAAATGCTTAATCAAATTGTGTTTAAAATGGAAGAAAAAGTGGAAAATTAACACTAGATAAAGGTGAATGTTTCTCTTATTGAAGCAGGGGACTAAGGGAACAGATAGAAAGTTAAGTTTCACACTGGAGCTGTTGTGTTGTAAATGCATAGTAAGTATTCCTTATGAGGCCTTGCAAATTCCTGTTGACTGTTCTTAGTTGGCACTTCATGGTGCATTGTTCTAAAAAATCATAACTGTGAGAAGCTTCCTTGCCTATAACAAAACAGCGTGTTGGTATTTAGGTGGATGATTTATGGTTTCAATGTGGCCATTTTTGAGTTCTCTGTCAAATGTTTTCAGTGGAGATCCTATTGTTAAGGTTAAATATGACAGGCAGAATTTCCATCTTTAAATTACATACAATCTTTTGTGAACAGAAAACCCAAAGTATGTATTCTGCAGACAATATATGTTATCAGTTTAATCTTAAAATAGAGATTGAAAGTGAGGGAGAGAATTATAGAAGAAACATTCAAATAGGTTAATTTCAAGACTGTAGTTGACATGAAGCAAACTAGAAAGCTTTCCTATAGTAACTGAGTAGTCCCTTGCTTAGAAATATTTATTCACAGTCTGAAAAACCAGACTATTGCAATCTTTCCCACTACTTTAAATAGTAGTAATTCATGAGAGAGAAAAACACCCATTATCATTTATTATAGGCCTGTTTCTCTCATAAACAAACAGCTATCTTTTTAGCAAAAAATAAAGTAAAAAGGCCATCTGACTGCAAATGATACTACTGAGGCAGATGTAGTAATTCAGCAGATTTCTGGAAGGGTAGGAATTTCTAAAAGAATTAAGATGAATTTTTAGATTGCTTCACCATGCAGGCCTTATCAGAAAGAGGAAACAACAGTATCTGTGCAGGTAGAATGTATTTTCAGAGAGGGGAAACCACCAATGTCAGCACCTGCCACTTTGCCAAGCAGTAAGGAGCGAAATCTGACCAAATGAATATGTGATACAGGAGTTCCAGCAGGTTACGGACATATTTCATGAAAGCTGCTGCAGACCAGTGATTTAGATATCCTCTGTGGCTCCCAGACACTTTCTCTCTGGGGTAAATAAGAGGAAGAATTGGGTACAGAGCTTATTTCCCAATTTGCCCATATGCTGGCACGTATGTGTTGTGCTGCTCTTAGGGAAAGCCAAGCTCTGCATTGTGCTGATGACTTGTATTTGTGGAATGTGATCTACCATCATCTTGTACCCTCAGCTGGACAGCAGGCTCATCAGCTCAGCTGCCTTCAGAAAGCTTTTTCTTCTTAGTGTAAAGAAGGAGTAGAGGGACCTTGGATCCAGCAACAGAAATATTGCAACAGCCCAAAGAAGAATTTAGAGTTTAGGATATAAAACACAGATCAATTCAAAAGAAGTTTTGCAATTAAGTTTATTATATTGTAGCTGCTTATCCTAGAAGACATTGACCTCCTTCTTAAACTTTAAAAGCCTCAGGGAGCTATGGTGACAGCTACACAGCCATATCTGTGTGAGGCTGTGGCTGGGCTAGGGTATGCTGCTCCTGTTTTTCATGTCCTGGGCATGGACA